GAAAGAATATTGAACGTCGTATGATTACTCAGTGCTTCACAATTTAATTTAAAGTTATAAACCTTTAAAAAATGAATGATCATTAACCTGAAATACGCGCAAATATTAATATTAACAAATTATAACTTTATAAAGCTTAAAGTATGAATTAAAATGATTAGAAATATTAGGAACGGTACACAATATAAAACTTAGTAACTTTTTTTAAGTTTATAATATTCGACATATTTTAAGATTATATTAAAAAATTATTGAAATATCGAAAACACATAAAAACATGGCTTAAAAAAGTTCTAACAAATGAAAATGACAATAAAACATCCACGCATTTTATCGAAAGTTATAAAAGTTTTGTTACTTGTAATATGTTTTATCTGCCCCCTGGAATTAATGTTTAGAACCTTGTTCCCAAGGTTTGAAAAACATCCGATTGTTGTCTATTACTCGTATTTACCTGCTGGATTTTTTAATCCGGTGGACAGTCCATCTAGAAAGGCCCTCCTGGATGAAGTCACAGAATCATCAACCCATACTTTACTTGTAGTGTGTCCTGCGTTTACCCACGTTTCATCAAGGTCATAAATCTTCCTGTTTTGATTTCTATATTTCCCAATTTTTGTTAAATAATCCCTCCTCCATAGCACAATTTCTTCTCTATCCAGTAGTAAACTATTACGACCCCGTTTTTTCCATTTGAAATTTAAATGCTTCAGTAACGCATGGAAAGTTGATCGTTTGAAATTTGGCAACGTTGTATCTCCATTTACCTCCTGCAGTACTTTATCTATAGTAGGTATTTCATTCCTAAAGAAGAATTCATGCACTTTCCTCCTAATCGCATGCTTATCAGCTTCATCCAATGATTTAACAATACTTTTGTGATGTTAACTGGTCATTGGCTCAGAAAAGGTGTGATTTTTTTTGTATTGTCTTAACACATTAAACACTGATGCGCGACACATCCCAACTTTGTGAGAAACCTTCACAACAATTTCTTTGATGGTTGATGCCTCGTTCTCCTCGCGCTCGATCTTATATATATACAAAATGACCTCTTTCATTTCTGCACTCAGGTGTCTTTTTTTAGAGCGTTTCCTAGGTGGACTATAGGAGTTTACAACTTCATCGGCAGTATCTGTACTACTGGGCATTTTGCGCAAGCAGTTGATAACAATAACAATCAATAACAAGGTATAACAATAACAACGACAAACTCAACAAATTAATAAGATAACAAACGAAAACGTCCAAAGAAATATCAAATTGCAATGATGCACACGACATACGTAACACGTCTGAACCTGAATGTGACTCTGCCTTGATATGACTGCTCTGCCGCTCGGCATAGGCATTTAATTGCGAATTGACCAATGAGGGCTCCTGTTTTACGTCGAGACGGCGGCGTTAGCGTGAAAATCACCCGAACCTTTTGTTTACATCCGGTCTATCTCTTATCTGAATATACTGTAGTCTGCGAGTTGACATCTTATAGGTTTTTTTTGACGTTTTATAGGTTTTTTACATGATACCTGTGCCGGTTGGAGTCCCGGGTTATGAGAGAAGGTTCACGAAAATGTATCTTGTTTCGAAAGTTAGGAACAAAAATGTTGTCAGATAATATTTTAAGACGGCCGGCGACGAATGAAATATTTAGTAACTTTTTCATAATAAAGTTTAAGTATATTCTTTTTATGCTTCTTGTTGAAGAATAACGTACCAGGTAAGCAGAACCTTAGCTAATTCCGCCACGGAAGATCAAGAAAGCGTTAAATAAAAACAACAATCGCCAATTAGTTTGTGAATAAGGAGAAAGTGAAAATTACGATTGTGGCAAGGAAGCTTGAGAGTGAATGCTAGTGATTTAAATTTAATAACAAGATACACTTTACTGCATTAAAGTGCAAGGAACTCGTCTTTCTTCAAAGATGTTCTAAAACTAAGACCAAAGTTACGATTGCATCCAATCTTGCGAAAATACGAGAGATGTTCAGTATCTTTGAAGTTCATCCTAATATACTAAGTGACATATAAATCCGAACACCCAGTTTAAATGGTTTTATTTTAATAAAAGTTGGTGGATGTATTTATCTTACTGTAAATAACAAGTGGAAACATTTTCAGCCTCATCAATTACTGTTTTTTTTTAATTCACTAACGCTCTAAAAATGAATATTTCTTCCGCAGTAAAGAATCAACGTTGGCGGATTTTGGTTCTTGACATCCTTTACGATCGGTTACGACGCCTAGAGTACGGAGACCTGTATGATTTCGTCAACTTAGTGAGTTTGATAGGGGCCGTATAGTGGGACTTCGGGAAGCTGGACTTTCTTTTCGGGCAATTGCAGTTAGAGTGCAAAGAAGTGTAGACACTGTGGTCAGGTGTTGTCAGGCATGGCTTCGAGAAGGCCGTACGCAAAGAGCAAGGGGCACTGGACGCCGCCGTAGAACAAAAGACCGTGAAGATCGCCGCCTAAGATTATTGGCCTTAAGGGACCGTTTCTCCACTACCAGGTCCATTGTAAATGAATGGTTTGCAGAACACGGAAGACCTATTGGCATACGAAGTGTTTACCGACGAATGAGAAGTTTTGGCTTGTTTTCATACCGGCCACACTGGGTCCTCCCTTTAACTCGAGAACACCGACGAAATCGCCTTGAGTGGTGCAGACAACGGTCACTCTGGGATCAGGAATGGAACGGTATTGTCTTTAGTGACGAGTCTCGATTTTGTTTAGGCATGCACGATGGTCGTGCCAGGGTTAGAAGGCGACGTAGTGAAAGGAGGAATCCACAGTTTTTTGTTGAAAGACATGTTCATCACACTGTTGGAGTTATGGTTTGGGGTGCTATAGCTTATGGTTTCAGGTCACCTTTAATCTTCATCAGAGGTAACATGAACGCGCAGCGTTATATCCACGAAGTTCTAGAACCCCATCTTTTACCCTATCTTGACACCCTGGCAGATCCAACTTTCCAACAAGATAATGTCCGACCTCATGTTGCAAGAGTCACAATAGACTTCTTTCAACATAATGATGTCACATTGTTACCATGGCCACCAAGATCTCCCGACTTATCCCCAATTGAGCACGTGTGGGATATAATGGGTAGGAGATTGCTCAATTTGCAACGTCTTCCTCAGACTCTAGAAGCACTTCGAGAGGAGTTGGTGGTTGCCTGGAATGAGATACCACAGGAGGACATTGACCACCTGATCAGAAGCATGCCTAGGCGCGTTGGAGAATGCGTAGCACATCAGCGTGCATCCACACATTATTAAAGGTCAAAGGGCTTTAAAGCAGTGCAATCATTTTGAAATTTTTATCATTTACTTATTATGCTTCATTAAGTACTTATACAAAATTTTATTAAAATAAAACCATTTAAACTGGGTGTTCGGATTTATATGTCACTTAGTATATAACGGGTTAAATGTTATGAATTTAGAATTTGTACAAGAAGATGTGGATATAAGTAAGTTCGGAAATTACTAGTTATTCAACTTTTAATCCCTTTGAAAGCTGAACGACTTGAGCAATAGTTACTGGAGCATACTGTAAAAGTGAGTACGATCTCAGAATCAAATAATGTCTCGACTGCAAGCAGCATATTTATGTACAACCTACATAATAAGATATATTTAGATTTTAATAACATCGTTTATTTGGTAACATTTGGAAACAACACTTATTAAGGAAAACAGTCATGAGGTATTACTAAACATTGACAACTATTTATAACAATATATACATAACACAGAATGATATTTTTTATTTACGAGTATAGGTCAGAATCTCATTAAAAACGTATTTCGTAGGTACGATATTCAGCGACTATTTCCCTCGTCTTAATTTCTACTTAGGTCTTCGACTCGGACTTTTGTTGCCACCAACACTAATTATACAGGGTGTCCGCAAAGTTGGGGTTTTCCTTTACACGACGTGTAGATCTTGAAAACATAAGCAATTTTTTTTAGTACCATGTACACCAATGTCTTAAGGGAACCGGGATAAAGGGCTCTGCAACATCAAAAATATCTGTCCTGTAGCCGCGACATCCCCGAGTGGTACTAGGACACTAGCTCAACCCGTCGACAGAACTGGGTCGGGGTCAGTGTGTCAGGTCAGTATGCAACCTTCAACCGACGGGTAGAGGTAATCGCGTAGACGAGAATCCCTCAACAAGCACTAGAGACGTGGCTAGAGAAGTGCAAGTATCAAAAACTAAAGTGTGGCAAACGCTGCGTGAAGAGGGGCTGTATCCGTTTCACGTCCAACGTGTACAAGCCCTTCAACCTGACGATTTTCCAGCAAGAGTGCGGTTTTGTGAGTGGTTGTTGCATCAACATGACAATAATCCGGACTTTTTGAAGTGCATATTGGTGACAGACGAATCTACGTTCACGCGTAATGGGGTGAATAACTTTCGCAACACTCATGTTTGGTCAGTAGAAAATCCGCACGCTGTCCGTCGATCACATTTTCAACAAACATTTCCGGTGAATGTTTGGGCTGGCATGGTGAACAGTATGCTCATTGGACCATTTATTCCCCCAAATCGATTGGACGGGATGCAATACCTAGACTTTTTACGCAACATTTTGCCTTCCCTGTTTGCCTGCGTCTGCTCGGTAGCGCATCAGCTGATTTCATTTTCTGTTGGAGCGGTATGATTTCGGGCAGAGATGTACTTAGCCCTTCTCGTCAACTGGAGAGTGAGTACTTTTTCCTTTATTTTTTTTTACTTGGTCGCCCTCGTTTCACTACACATTACCTTTGTTATTTCAAGGGTAGTTGTTTTTGAAAAGGAAAACCCCAACTTTGCGGACACCCTGAATACAGGGTGTTCCTTAATGATATGCGAATATTTAAGGGTGTGAATCTACTTGAAAAATTAATGTTAGTTTGCTTTATAAACTACGGTCCAAAATTGTTTCCTCACAAAAAGTCGGGGTGTTGAAGTTTTAGGAAAAAAATAGAAATTAATTAATATTTTCAGAACCGCTTCACATATTTCACTGATATTTAGTACGTAGTGAAAGCTAATAAAGTTGCATATTTTTCAATGCAAAAATAATTTTTAGCTATATATGGGTATTGACTTCGATATTTTTTAAGAAAAAAATAAAATATTACTTAGCAACGTGTTTTTTCGATTTTTTTTTTTGAAAAATCAGATGCTCTCATGATATTTGAGGTAACGTAAAATTCCAAATCACTTTACGCAGGAGAATTCAGACCAATATCTTTACAGCTTGGAAAATTTGGACCGATCTGCATGATTCCTCTTTTTCTGACAAACTTTAATGAATCAATCATGCCATCTCATATGAAATAACATATTTTACGGCAAACTCCGCTATCTGTCACATCTTTCCTTCGATCCTCTCAGTTCCAAATCAGACTTAGCTTCCGCATAAAAAATTCTATCGACTTCCTCGAAACCATCGATCGCTTCTGCACTGGAAGCTGGAACAGATTTAGCCACGGTGCTAATTGTGAAATCGCTTTCTTGCGGAACCGTTTGCAAAGCCGAAAAGCTCACGAAGTATTTCTTCAATTTACCAAAAAAATTGCGCTTGTCCGAGTTCAACTTGTTGTCAGACAAAAACGCGTCTTTGTTGAAAGCTTTCAAGTCGCTCGGCGCGGCAGTAGGCCATGACGCCCTACCCACCATAGAGCATGGCAATTGACTGTCACTTGTTTTTCCTAAGCCGCTAGATCCAGGTTTCGAGATACTTGCTCGGTTGTTCAGCAGCGCCTCTAAGCGAGATATTTCTTTATCTAGTTCGGCGATCTCGCATCTGTAGACTTTATTTTGGATTTCTAGCCTACAAATAAATTCTCTAGGATCGTCTGATATGAATCTCCTTGTGTTGCTTTCTATTTTCAAGCCCATGCTTTGCGTTATAGGGTCTATTTTGCAGAAAACCAATTTGAGTTTAGGCAAAAATAAAAGTAAAAGTGACAAGGTGGTTGAGAAAAGGATGCATACCGACTTGGCGATATAAGTAAATATGACATATTCTGAAATAAAGCTAAAGAAGATAACGATAATTGTGGTGAATACAGCACCATATACGCAGATGCCTATATGCTGAGAATCGTTGAGAGCAGGAACTTTGACATGTCGAGTTTTCCAGGCCATGAACACTCCCATAATTAGAATTATGCTTTTGTATCCAAAAAGAGCCAAATACCACCCTGGCGTGTTGTGACAGCTGCAACTCTCTACCTGTAACATAAATGAAAAAGATGCCGTCAAGTAGTATGATTCGTGAAATATTATATTCGGCATAAGCTAACCTCGCTTGGAAAAAGTTGGCTACTAAAATGTATAACAAAGAAATTAAATGAATACTTCCAATAGATTTGACAAAATTGTCATCTAGCCAGCCGCCCTACCCCTGAGCATGAAAATATATCATTTAAGTTTTAGATGCAAACGTGCAGAGAAAACCATAATGTATGAAATATACAGTGTGACTTCGAAGTTGAGTCATTTATTTTAACAGTGAGTAGATCTGATCAAAAGAAATGTTTTTTTCCTTTACCATTTTTCTGGTAAAATTAAAGTAACAAAGTTATAGCCCTTTGGAAGTTTGAGTACCGCCCTGTCTCAATAATATTATGTGCTCGTGTTTGGCAACAACGGATATAATCCGCCTTATCGGTTCATCGCATCGGAAACAAAAAAGCGAAAGAATTTGGAACGATGTTTTTACAATTATTTTATTCAGTTGTATACAGTCAGTGTCAGTCGGTAATGCGTGAGTGAATAGTGGTGTCTGTTGCGTGGCTCAAACGAAATCAAAAATGTTACATGTTTACGAAAATGCTGAACTTGATGACATGATTCTTATTTACGCGGCATCACGGATTTATGCGGATCGGTTTCCCAATCGAGTGCAACCAACCCCTCGTGCCTTTGTTAATGTAGTACAAAGGGCTCATGAATCAGGTGACTTAAGACCTCACAGGGGAGGGCATGCCGGTGCTCCAAGACTGCATGATCAAATACAGGTCCGCACTGAAATACTTGTCGGGATGATACTTTATAGAACAAGGTAACATTTTTTTTTAATTTTTTTTTTATTTTTACACACATTTTGGTTTATCTTCCTTCTACAATCATTATCTGAAAATTAATAACTCAACTTCAAAGTCACCCTGTATATCGACTAGGTCTAAATACTGATGTCGGAAACGGAAACATTTCTCTGAAAGTAATCAGGATACACTGAAATATCAGAAAATGAAGTTTGAGCGATTTTTAATCTTCTTCGTTATTTGCCTGCAGCTCCTTTGCCATTTCCAAAAACTACAAAGCTGTTTCGTCCTTTCGACGATGCTTAAAAAGTACCTTAAAAATATGCTATACACTTTAACTCAATTCCCCGCAAAATGAGGTTTGAAGAAAATCAATTTTTGGAAGAGAAAGAGCGATAAGAAAAAAAAAGAAATCACCGGGTTCATTCTTCTATAAAAGTGGAATACTCACGTACAATTTCAGAGCTGTACCGATATTAGTTGTTGAAGAAAAAATTCACAAAAAAATTCTTTTCTTAACTAAAAAAATGATTGCATTGTTCTTTGGTGATCTATATACCCACAATGAAATAATCAGATTTGAAAAGGACTATTGCTTCAAATAGCTAGTTAAAGAAACTGACATGCTTTTAAAATCACGGGTTTGTGCAGTTTTCTATCGTTACAGAAATATTGCAGCATTATCAGATTTTGAGTGCCAGTGACGAAAATCTGAAGCGAGGTAAGTTATTTTTGGTGCTATGCGTTCCCAAGAAACTGAAGTAGGGATGATATGCAACAGAAACCCCGGAATACATTTTTAATTTTGATTCATTGCTGCTTAGTATCAAATTCTCTACTGAATCCTGCAATAATTGAAAGTATTTTTTGGAAAATGGACGCGTTATAAACCATAACGTTCATTTTGCACCTGCCCTGTACATTGACCTGGAAAAGCGCATTTTACTCCATCAGAAACCAAGTCGTATTTACCTTTTAACTAGCACGATTTCGTTTATTAACAAAAGAGAAACTTTTCCTCTTTGGGGCATGACGAAAAAATTCTGACAGTCGCCAAAAAAAAAAATAATAGGTCAGAATCAGTTCAAATCAGTCGATACAGCGATGTATGGGAGATACTCTAAAAACTAGAATATTTTACAACTTAAAGGACATCCTCACCTATTTCTTACAAACTTCTGAAAGAGCTAAAGGGATAGCCGGGGTTCTTATACTGAATCCTTGATCTCTTGGAGCTTAAACAAACTTTGATAATCCGGTATTTGAACTACCTGAGGAACTAAGAAAGGCCTCCTCCTGTAGATTGTTCCATAATCTCAGTACCCTAGGGATAAAGGAGCGGTCGTATCGGCCAGTTCTGGGCGTACGAAGTTCGACATGGTTAGGATGGAAGGCCAAAGTCAGGCGGGTTTTTCTGGCAGACGGCATCCTTGCCTGGTCCCGAGACTGTCCGTTAATGCACATTATAATTAGTTTTTGAAAAAAATGGAGATCTTCACCTGTGATTGATAGACGACTCCACGTTTGCTGTAATCGACCTGTAACGTCAAATTGTAGATCTGTCTTTCCATGGGATCGATGATCACCCATAAAGCGACTATGACAGCGTCGACCACCAGCGGAATCATGATCAGTACAATCAGCTGCTTGTCTTGTAATAGCTTGTTTCTAACTAGACCTGCACAAGTGTATGTGAATAGTCTGTGCACCCTGTACGTCTTTGCGAACATCGAACCGAACGTCAAGGAAAAGCCTGCTGACAATAGGTAGACCTTGGCCTGGAAATATAAGTTACATGGAACATCACAAACAAGCTACAAAGAACATTAAGTCAGTATCAAGATGTATCATGTGATTTATCCCTTATATAACTTCAGAGGTATGAGGCATTTTCTAAAGTTCCGTATCGTCAATCATTCCTACAATTGCAGGACATCTTTATGACCTCCGTGGTTTGCGGTCTTATCTCTCCTTCAGAAAGGGGGGTATTTCTATATTTCTGCTGTTCCGTGTCAACGCTCTCCTATTCGTAACATAACCTCAAAATTGCTCGCCTTTCTGAAGGACAGTAAAAACGATGAAAATCAAGGCGTCCTACAATTGAAGACGGATAAGAGAAATTTGTTCCACCAATTAAAAATGCAATTTTGTCTAGGTGAAAAATACCCCATTATCAAGAATCGCAAGCTATGATCAACCATCAAATATAGTACAGGGCCATTATATCTAAGTCGCGTACCTTTCAAATTACAGACTTTAAAAAAATATATAAAAAATATACACCCTGTGATGATCTTTTAGTTCTAATTACAACAAATTTCATTTCTTTTTAGACGGAGTAACGGACATTCTTTTAAAGCCCATAATTTTGAAGAGCACACGACTTTAATTTTTCTGTCAACTATTTTAACTTAACCAATCCCCAGCTTCCGGCTTGATGTTGATTTCTGGGTATAGAAAAAAATGAAAGAACCAAATTTGATGTATACTAAGTGACATATAAATCCGAACACCCAGTTTAAATGGTTTTATTTTAATAAAAGTTGGTGAATGAATACTTTAAATAACAAGTGAACAAATTTTCAGCCTTATCAGTTGGACATTCCGGTTTTTATACTGCTTTTTTTTAATTTACTAACGCTCTAAAAATGAATATTTCAGCCGCAGTAAAGAATGAACGTTGGCGGATTTTGATTCTTGACATCCTTTACGATCGGTTACGATGCCTAGAGTACGGAGACCTGTACGATTTCGTCAACCTTGTGAGTTTGATAGGGGCCGTATAGTGGGACTTCGGGAAGCTGGACTTTCTTTTCGGGCAATTGCAGTTAGAGTGCAAAGAAGTGTAGATACTGTGGTTAGGTGTTGTCAGGCATGGCTTCGAGAAGGCCGTACGCAAAGAGCAAGAGGCACTGGACGCCGCCGTAGAACAACAGACCGTGAAGATCGCCGCCTAAGATTATTGGCCTTAAGGGACCGTTTCTCCACTACCAGGTCGATTGCAAATGAATCGTTTGCAGAACACGGAAGACCTATTGACATGCGAAGTGTTTACCGACGAATGAGAAGTTTTGGCTTGTTTTCATACCGGCCACACTGGGTCTCCCTTTAACTCGAGAACACCGACGTAATCGCCTTGAGTGGTGCAGACAACGGTCACTCTGGGATCAGGAATGGAACAGTATTGTCTTTAGTGACGAGTCTCGATTTTGTTTAGGCATGCACGATGGTCGTGCCAGGGTTAGAAGGCGACGTGGTGAAAGGAGGAATCCACAGTTTTTTGTTGAAGGACATGTTCATCACACTGTTGGAGTTATAGTTTGGGGTGCTATAGCTTATGGTTCCAGGTCACCTTTAATCTTCATCAGAGGTAACATGAACGCGCAGCGTTATATCCACGAAGTTCTAGAACCCCATCTTTTACCCTATCTTGACACCCTGGCAGATCCAACTTTCCAACAAGATAATGCCCGACCACATGTTGCAAGAGTCACAATAGACTTCTTTCAACATAATGATGTCACATTGTTACCATGGCCACCAAGATCTCCCGACTTATCCCCAATTGAGCACGTGTGGGATATGATGGGTAGGAGATTGCCCAATTTGCAACGTCCTCCTCAGACTCTAGAAGCACTTCGAGAGGAGTTGGTGGTTGCCTGGAATGAGATACCACAGGAGGACATTGACCACCTGATCAGAAGCATGCCTAGGCGCGTTGGAGAATGCGTAGCACATCAAGGTGCATCCACACATTATTAAAGGTCAAAGGGCTTTAAAGCAGTGCAATCATTTTGAAATTTTTATCATTTACTTATTATGCTTCATTAAGTACTTATACAAAATTTTATTAAAATAAAACCATTTAAACTGGGTGTTCGGATTTATATGTCACTTAGTATATCTTCAGAGCTACTTACGAAACACAATTTGCTAAAATGCACATCGGACTTGATAGTGGTGTTGTTGATTCCAAGAAGAATTACAGAACAATACACCAAAATGCATCCGACCACAGCCACGTTATTCAATTTTGGGCTGGATAGCTTTAAGGTCCTGATTTTTCTGAAGTACAGATTGATGCATAGAAAGACGAAAGATATTCCGATTCCCATCAGTGATACCATGGCGACTGTGTAGAATAACGCGTTAGGTATCGTGGTCATGGAAATCTTCAAGATTCGTTGGGCTATGGGAATCTTGTCGTCTTTCCATTTTACACTGTGACATGTCTCACAGTTGAAGTTTAGAGTATTTGTGATTGAATCGAAGATTGCGATGTCTTTTTGCATTCCATCTGAAAGATAAAAAGTTTGTCATGTTATGTAAAATTGTCCCTAAACATTGGGTAAAAAAGCAAGAGGTAAGAATACAGCAAAATCCAACATGTCCGGAAAGTTAGGTCCTCCTTTTCAGAAACAACTCTACGTTCGAAATAACACAGCAATTTTGTGGTGAGACAACTGAGAAAATGCAAAAAGGAAATTGAAAAAAGTATTCACTATTCATTTCATTTCTTAATTTTGAAACATTTGGGGCTGTATAGGTCTTCTACTGTGTCCACATATATGGCTTTTGCACCATATAAATCAACCTACACAGCTCTAAAGGAAACATCGAGGACAGCGTTCTGAATGCACTCGCGGAGTATCAATAGGATTTTAAAGACGCGCTCAGTAATTCAACATAAAATCGATAAGTAGGTATTGTTCTAAGAATGTGAAAATTTGTTTTTTCAAACTAGGTTAACCGTCACATCACTCGGCGCCTGATTTATATACTGACTCAAAAAGTACCACAAAACGTAACCTCTCTGGAAGAAGGAGCAGGAGGGGAGGAAGACTTTTATCAAAATATCATGCCTGCCGGGTTGTTCTTACCTTGTACTTGTCGAATAATTGAATTACCAATCCTGTCACCTCCTTTAAATTTCAGTGGACCCTGAAAAAAATATTAACAAGGTAACTACATATATACTGCCTATAGGTAGGGTCATTTTAAAACTGGAGATGTGTTAGACAGCAACGAAGTGAGAATAATGGTTGAATAACTTTACAGAGCAGAACCTACTAGATCCTTAATAATACGAGATATAAATCTTACATTAGCTTGCTTATATCTTTTTTGTCTTGCTTATTCAAGCTAGGACATCCCGTTTTAAAATGTTCTAACCTGTGTGTACATGTTTGGTTACAGAACATTTACCGAAAGTCCAATAAACTTTAACGAGTCCATCTTTCCCATCCATTTGCATACCAAATTTTTGTCTGTGTATTTGAAGTCTTCCAAGCGTACCAACCAGTTATGTCTCAAAGTTAACGCTATAGCCCAAACTGCGTCATAGCTGTGTCTAGCGTAACGTGAAATATCAGATTTTGATATGTTCAGAGTTTCTTCAAAAAATTCAGGATCCTGAAAAAAAGAAACTTCAAGGTTTAAAGGTTTACTTTGTTATCTTGTAAGAACCTGAAAGACCACAAGGATTCTATTCATTATTTTGATTTACGGTGAGGGTCTTCGAAATGCTACCGAGGTTTCGCGAGTGCATACAGATCGTTTTTCAATGTCCTTCGTGATTTCTTTTTTTGTTTGGGGTGAAATGAAATAAAATGTTTGATGTATAAAACCGAAATAAACACGGTGGACGAAATATGGGTGCGAATATTCAGGATCCTGAAATAATTCCAAAAATGATGGCATTTCAAGGTTTGAATGTTTACTTTGTTATCTTGAAAGGACCTGAAAGACTAAAAGGATTATATTTTTATTTTGATTTACGGTGAGGGTCTTCGAAATGCTAACGAGGTTTCGCGAGTGCATGCAGATCGTTTTTCAACGTCCTTCGCGATTTCTTTTTTTGTTTGGGGTGAAATGAAATAAAATGTTTAGTATATAAAATTGAGATGAACACGGTTGAAAAACTACGTGTGCAAGTATTCCGGATCTCGAAAAAATACGAAAAATAATGGAACTTCAAGGTTTAAATGTTAACTTTGTTGAAAAACTAAAATAATAGGTAATAATATTGAAATTTTTGAGACATACTCAATTATTGCTCTATTACGCAAAATATCTCAAAAAGATTTGCACACACCATTCCTGATATCGATATTCCACTTCCCTTTAGATCATTGTGCTCAGAAAATAAAAACATTCCACTTGTAGCTTGCTTCAAAGCATAATCTGTACAGTTTTTGGGCAAATTCCACCAGTTTTGTTCTCGATTTTGGAGTATCCAAACATATTCGTCTAACATTTTCAAATCGTGTACCTAAAACAGAGAAGTCAGTATTGTCTTTAGTCAGTAGATATTCAACCTCACACTATCTTCACGCATCCCAAGAATTATCCAAGATGAAATCAGATAAAAAAATATACCGTAGCGCCACCTATGACAGTTTGTCACAGCAATATTTGTCCTCCCCGCAACAATATATATATTCTCATATACAGAGTGTCCTCACAGTTGAGACTTCTCTTTATACGGCGTAAAGATCTTGGAAAATTGAGTAATTTTTCTAGTACACCAAATTCTTAAGATTGCCGATCGGATCAAACGTGAACACGTACGATGCACATCAGTACCAAATCCAGGCGGTGGCCGCGTAGGTAAACCTTTACATATCGGTTCTAAAAAAACGAAAATGGCACACTTATACAGCAATATCGGAGTTCTCCATATTATTTTGATTTACAGTGAGTGAGTATCTTCGAAATGCTACCGAGGCTTCGCGAGTGCCTGCCGATCACTTTTCAAGATCGTTCGTGATTTTTTTTTGCTTGTAGGGAAACGAGTATAAAACAGAGGTGAACACGGTAAAAGTAAGTAAAAGAAGGTAATTTGACTTACTGCGCAAAATATCTGAGGTAGTATATCTCCTGAAAAGCTTCCTATAATGACTCTCGTGTCGAGGTCCTGAAAATAATGTTATTAAGTTTGTGAATTAGTGATCTAATAGCTATAGTAAAAACTCATGCTACCATTACTCGAAAAGATAAACCCACGTACATGCACTGAATCTATCTCTTTCACGTGCGTGACGTCACATGGTGACAAAATTCTCCAGAAACAAACGTTTTTGACAAATTTGTTCATTTTTACCATTTTACTGAGTGTTCTCATCCACTTTTATAAGAACATTTAGCACCATTCTCCATTAACTATGTACGTCACGATCAACTAATTGAATTTAGTTGCTATTTTACAATTTATTTGTAACTCCTGAAGATAGTTGACCAAAAGCTTGAGGGTAAAGTTTGAATAGTACAATTTGACGAATATTCTTCCTACTAACTGGTTGTTGACGGCAATGACTACGTCCTACATGTTACCTTCAAAGCCTTTAGCTGATCCAGATAGTTGTCTAAAGAAAACGTAACGGTTGACATACACGCCACACTAGCATTCTCCAGATCTGTGATCAGTCGATTGATAGGCAACAGATACTCGTTTTCACTTTGGCTGAACGTAGCTACCACTTTCCACCCGAATTTTTTTATGAAATGTATTTTGGCGTCATTGTGTGAAGAATCTGGTGCTGCAGTGCGGAAAAACAATGGAAACTTGTTTCTGTCGCTGAGATACGGAGAGGTTGAACCAAATGAAACCTAAAAGAACGTACAGCTTAAAAGCTTTTTCCATAAATTCCTACATAATACACTGAGAAACACTTTCTTTATTATTCGAGGTCTGTAAATTATGCGATGAGACTGGCAACGTAGCGCTCGATCTGGCAACACTGTAATTATATTTGAATCAGTGCCATCACTTAATTTACGGACCTCGTGAAAAACACGTTTTCCAGACAAATATGATGAGGAACAAAGTTGTATTTTGGAAGAGCGAATCTAGTGGTGACCTTGAATATAACCTATAAGGTCATTTAAGGATCTAGACAGTTTTCTTAAGTAGAAACACCTATGCTTACACCGGAAATTTAAAGAGCAAAAGTTCAGGTATGTCTTTGCACATGACCTTCAAGGATATTTAATGGTATCTAAAGATAATTTGGAGGGGAAGATATCTGAAAAAATGTTTCATATGGAATAATGTAGCAGATCAAAGTTGTAAGGTTTGAAAACGGTGACCTTGAATATGACCGATGTTATTTGAAGGTCAAGGCAGGTTTCTTGATACCGAAAATGTAAAGAGCAGAAAAGTTTGTGTTCAAATATGTCCATCAAGGACATTTGAAGCTCAATTTTAACAGAAAACATCTATTCTTAGAACCTGAATTGCAAATTGAAGACAATTTTACGTTCAGTTATATTTTTGCCGGTGATCCTGACCTGATAGATCTTTAAATAAACGTACTTTTTGTCGCTGATATGAAAAAGCGAGACATTTTACGGTGAAGGTCACTATCATGAACTTGACCATCACTTTGACTATGATCTCGAATGTCTCTTGAAGGTCAAATAATTATTTTAATAGATACTCGTTCTTGCTTTCAGAACAGTAATTCCTGCCATCGTAAGACCTTTAATGTCGTCGTCAGGGTCACGCTCAAGGTCATCTTTAGGTAACGCTTTTTATCTGCAACATTTTTCTCTAGGTAGCACGTCTTCGAGATATACTAAGTGACATATAAATCCGAACACCCAGTTTAAATGGTTTTATTTTAATAAAATTTTGTATAAGTACTTAATGAAGCATAATAAGTAAATGATAAAAATTTCAAAATGATTACACTGCTTTAAAGCGCTTTGACCTTTAATAATGTGTGGATGCACACTGTTGTGCTACGCATTCTCCGACGCGCCTAGGCATGCTTCTGATCAGGTGGTCAATGTCCTCCTGTGGTATCTCATTCCAGGCAACCACCAACTCCTCTCGAAGTGCTTCTAGAGTCTGAGGAGGACGTTGCAAATTGAGCAATCTCCTACCCATCATATCCCACACGTGCTCAATTGGGGATAAGTCGGGAGATTTTGGTGGCCATGGTAACAATGTGACATCATTATGTTGAAAGAAGTCTATTGTGACTCTTGCAACATGTGGTCGAGCATTATCTTGTTGGAAAGTTGGATCTGCCAGGGTGTCAAGATAGGGTAAAAGATGGGGTTCTAGAACTTCGTGGATATAACGCTGCGCGTTCATGTTACCTCTGATGAAGATTAAAGGTGACCTGGAACCATAAGCTATAGCACCCCAAACCATAACTCCAACAGTGTGATGAACATGTCTTTCAACAAAAGCTGTGGATTCCTCCTTTCACCACGTCGCCTTCTAACCCTGGCACGACCATCGTGCATGCCTAAACAAAATCGAGACTCGTCACTAAAGACAATACTGTTCCATTCCTGATCCCAGAGTGACCGTTGTCTGCACCACTCAAGGCGATTACGTTGTTCTCGAGTTAAAGGGAGGACCCAGTGTGGCCGGTATGAAAACAAGCCAAAACTTCTCATTCGTCGGTAAACACTTCGCATGCCAATAGGTCTTCCGTGTTCTGCAAACCATTCATTTGCAATGGACCTGGTAGTGGAGAAACGGTCCCTTAAGGCCAATAATCTTAGGCGGCGATCTTCACGGTCTGTTGTTCTACGGCGGCGTCCAGTGTCTCTTGCTCTTTGAGTACGGCCTTCTCGAAGCCATGCCTGATAACACCTAACCACAGTGTCTACACTTCTTTGCACTCTAACTGCAATTGCCCGAAAAGAAGGTCCAGCTTCCCGAAGTCCCACTATACGGCCCCTATCAAACTCACTAAGTTGACGACATCGTACAGGTCTTCGTACTCTAGGCATCGTAACGGATCGTAAAGGATGTAAGAACCAAAATCCGCCAACGTTGATTCTTTACTGCGGTTGAAATATTCATTTTTAGTGAATGAAAAAAAAGCAGTATAAAAACCGGAATGTCCAACTGATAAGGCTGAACATTTTTTCATTTGTTATTTACAGTAAGATAAATACATTCACCAACTTTTATTAAAATAAAACCATTTAAACTGGGTTTATATGTCACTTAGTATATTTGTTCTCCGTGTAACTTTTAGAGGCCTTAAATTGACCTTGAAGATCATAGTCAAGCGAACACAAGGACTTATTTCGACATAAAGTTTTGCGTTTTCACTTTTTTGATTTTCCATTTAAGAAAACTGTTTCGACCTTCAAACTACGTAGAAGGTCACGTTCAAGGTCACCGTCATGCATCGTTTGAGCTGTTATGATGTGTCCATGTCACCCTGTACGCATTGATTCTTATGCAATCGCATATAAAAATTAAAATTGTGACTCTGCTTATTACATATTTTCGTGTTTTTTTTTAAGATTTATTTATTTTTTGTTTTTGGTATATGCCAGATGAGTACCTGTAGAATATTCCAATATGGAAGAACTTGAGCCAACCTTTCGGTAACGTTAGAACATCCAGATCCTAGTAACATCAGTATCTTCTTATTTGAGTACAGTGCATGAAAGAAACGGTCTATTCCGACTCCTGGATCGCACTAAAAAGTGAATACGTCAAGGTTTAGAGGCATTTAGTGTACCTTGAAAAGTCACTTTTCAAAATTTTTAAACGTTAATAAGCGTCAATACCTCCAAGATTTTCCGAATTTAAATATTTAAAATTTTCAAACTTCTCAGAATTTTCGAATTTTCCAAAATTTTCAAATTTTTGTTTTCAAGATACGTGATACCGGCACGGTAAGAAAGAGTAGTAAGTATATGACGAGATTCGTTATCTTATATTCTAGATTGGAGTTCTTAGTTACTTTGATCAGTTTTTCAATCTAACAATAAATGTCAGCGGCTTTATTTCACCAAGAATCTTAGAAACGTGCATTTGAACGGAAATCGGACACAGCTTCCTCAGCTTAGTCCAAAGAAACTTTATCCCATGTTTCAACTCTGACACTAGGCGTGCATCTAACTTCTAGTAGGCATGTTGGCCACTTAGACAGCTTTCTCTTTGATGACTGAAACCACAGCCGACGTCAACTACGAGCCGTGAACAAAGAAATCTGGCAACGTAGGTGGTAGTGTTACTCCCGCCGCTGCTTGCTGCATCGACGCAACTCGTGCTCAAAACGCTGAGAAAACATAACCTTTTCAATTTGTGATTTTGGAATCCCAGAGGCTGTAATTAAGAGATAAGCTTGTTTTCTAAGCTTCAAAGTGTGAGTATGTGTTCAAAGTGATCGGTGACTATAATATATGAGAAATAGACTCCAGTTGTAGTGCTTCTGTGCTTTAAAAATAAACTAAGAAGTGTGACTGTGGCTGTTCGCGCCTCAGGACGCTAAGGATTTCAACTATTGAAAACGTGCAAATTCAGGTTGTATTTTTCTTTTTTTCATTTATCAATTATTTGACGCAGACAATATGCCTCGTTGTTGCTGTGTTCCTTTATGCAATGCAAACTATAATTCTGCTTTGAAAACAGAAAGCTTATGGCAATTCCCAGAAAAAATTGGACACCTTCAAAATATTCAGCTGTGTGCAGTCGTCATTTTAGAGAATGGGATATCATCAGGACAGAAAATATAGTTTTGGCGGATGGAACAGTCCAAAATAATATACCTTTGAAATATCCAAAATTGAAAGAAAATGCTGTTCCCTCCATTTTCCCAAACTTGCCATCATATCTTTCAAAAACTGAAGCACCCAAAAGAACTGACCCAATGCAAAGAAAACAAAAATTAATTGAGAAACATGAAAAAGCTATCCAGAATTTCGATGATATGGATAAGATCAAAGATAAATTTAGTTCAAAAATGTGGATTTGAAGTTATTTGTGTTGTTACTGATAATCACCGAATTAATAGTCCAATGTTCAGGAAATTAGCAAAGGATTCATCAGAAAACTATTCTATTCCAAATCCACATAATCCTGATAAGAACATATATTTAACTTATGATGTTGTGCATATTTTCAAGAGTATCAGAAATATTTGGATTAATTTAAAAAACCTAGACAAAACTTTTGTATATCCTAATTTTGACAATAATGATATTATTCAGTATGCTAAATTTGAAAACATTCGTGCTGTATATCAATTGGAAAAAGAAGCTGTAGTTAAGAAAGCATATAAATTAAATTATAAAACATTGCATCCAAATTCATTTGAAAGGCAAAATGTAAATTTTGTAGATAATTTATTCCATCACTCAACAATAGCTGCTATGAAAGAATTAAGGTTTAATGATGCTGCACACTTTTTGGAAATAATCAGGAATTGGTGGGATATTGTCAGTAATACAAGTGTAATAAAAGGAGAATTGAAGCGAAACGAATTTTGTAAGCCTATTACCTGAAACTCAAGAGGACGATATTTACCTTCGTATCATTTATGAGTAGTTGCAGCCTATACCCTGGAATAACATTATACCTATTCACATGGCTAACAGCTAACTTTGCAGCCAACACTTCACTTTCACCTTCAACCCTTAGACCCCACTTAGTACTTAACTCGAACAATCCCAAAATATACACAGTCTTAACATCTTCATCTTCTACTCTATCCACTTCGTCCGTTTCACTAAAGTTCACATAATACACAAAATCACTCTCACTAGACCCGTCAAAGCTCAAATTGAGGAAATGCTCGTAAGCTGTCGACTCATTTTTGAAAGCATCGCTGTAGTTTGAGAGGGTGAAGAATTTTGAGTAGTTTCGCGATTTGTTTTTCAAGGAAAGGTAAGTGGTCAGGACAGCTATGGAGAGAAACAAAAAACACACGTGTCGTTGGAACGGGTGCGATGATTTCATGGCGTTCTTGATGAGTTTATGGGAAAGAATAGGGGTGACGACTTTTGTATAAAAAGAGCGTGGTGCAGGAGACCTCGATGGTGAAGTGGTGGAAGCAGTGGTGGAGAACACCGCCTGCTTTTATGAGAATTGATCCGTATACCATATACCTATTTTCCATACTCGTGCTGCAACAAAGGCAGATCCTAAATACCGATACACCGTGACTGCCAGGAAAGAAATCGTTTTGTTTTTTCTAATACGTCAGTAGTTCTAACGGGTGATTTTTTAAGAGGTATAGGATTTGATTTTCAAAAAAAAACACAAAAAATTTGAAAAAAGATTAAATCTTTATTTGAGTCGATAGAACGGTCGATATAATTTAATTTTTAAAGATTATTTCATGTAAATGTCCCCATGCCCATGCGCAAGGTCCAATTTTGGCACACTCTCTCCAACATATCGGTATCTCACGAATAAATGCTTCAATATTGGCTTCCAGTGCATCAATCGTTGCTGGTTTAGACATTAGCCTTAACATGGTCCACAAGAAATAGTCCAACGGCGTTAAATCACACGATCTAGGCGGCCAATTGACGGGCCCCAAACGTGAAATAAACTGTTCACCGAACTCGCCTCTCAATAGGGCCATTGTTTCGTGTGCGGTGTGGCATGTGGCACCGTCTTGTTGAAACCACATGTCAGCCAAGTCCAGCTCTTCCATTTTGGGCAAAAAAAAGTTTGTAAGCATCGCACGGTAGCGCTCGATATTCACAGTTACGTTCAGGCCATTGTCGTCTTTGAAGAAGTACGGCCCGATGATGCCACCGGCCCATAATCCACACCAAACAGTGATTTTTTCGGGATGCATTGGTAGCTCTTGCAATGCTTCTGGCTGGTCTTCACTCCAGATGCGGCAATTTTGCTTGTTAACGTACCCATTCAACCAGAAATGAGCTTCGTCGCTGAACACAATTTTTCGATAAAAATGTGGATCTTCCTCCAACTTTGCCAGCGTCCATTCACCAAATTGGAAACGCTGTGGGAGGTCGTGTGGCTTCAATTCTTGCACCAGCTGTATCTTATAAGGTTTTACACCCAAATCCTGTCATCACTGGCGGATACAGCCGCAATATTTTCTTCAGTCCTCACTCTACGTCTGCGTCTTGGTGGTTTAATGTCCAATAATGTAAACTGGGTTCGAAATTTTGTCACAAGCTTCCGAATAGCTCCCTCAGTAGGCAGATCATGAATTTTGATAGTAAAATTCAATAATTTGCAAGCGTTGTTCGTTCGTAAGTCGATTCATTGTTAAATTATAGACCAAACTGAACAAGTTTGACAATGACACAAGACACGATTCACGCGTCATCTGTCAAAAACAGTGTTGCCAAAAAGATACTAGCAAAAAAATCACCTCATTATATGCATTTGGAATAAATAAATGAAATTAGAGCCAGAAGGCTGGCTGGTCGATATGGCGGACCTAGAACGTGATGGCACCATGTATGAGAACTCATATGGGCAATGCCTGATGGCATATTTGTAGAAGATAGCTAGATCATCGCTTGTCATAAAAAACGCTAAAGTTAAACAGTTGTGAAGTCGTATTTGGAGTAGAAAAGTAAAATTTTTGATCGACATCAGCAAACAACTGAAATCATATTCGCGATCTACGCACGCCATTTTCTCAAGCAACAGGCTACATTTTGGAAATTCTTCTCACAGTCCCGCCGAGTCCATTATAAGCGGGTTGCACTTCACAAACTTTCCATTTTTGTTTCCCATTGTTATGAGTGGATGATACTCAGTACACTGAGAAAATTTGGAACGCTATTTTCGAATACGGCCATCAAAAAATGCTAGAGTTTAAGACCCGCGAAATCCTGTTTGAAGTGGAAAAATAAACAACTTTTGGGGCGTTCTGAAAACCTCGGAGAAAAACTGAATTAAGATACAGCAACATCGAATGACGTATGATAAGTAATGGGTGATTTTTTTGCTAGTATCTGTTTGGCAACACTGTTTTTGACAGATGACGCGTGAATCGTGTCTTGTGTCATTGTCAAACTTGTTCGGTTTGGTCTATAATTTAACCATGAATCGACTTACGAACGAACAACGCTTGCAAATTATTGAATTTTACTATCAAAATTCATGCTCGGTTAAGAGAGTGCATCGAGCACTGCTTCCAATTTATGGGCAATTTGGTCGGCCTACTGAGGGAGCTATTCGGAAGCTTGTGACTAAATTTCGAACCCAGTTTACATTATTAGACATTAAACCACCAACATGTAGACGTAGAGTGAGGACTGAAGAAAATATTGCGGCTGTATCCGCCAGTGTTAGTGATGACCGAGAAATGTCGATTCGCCGCCGTTCGCAGCAATTGGGCCTCTGTTACTCCACTACGTGGAAAATTTTGCGACAGGATTTGGGTGTAAAACCTTATAAGATACAGCTCGTGCAAGTATTGAAGCTACACGACCTTCCACAACGTTTCCATTTTGGTGAATGGGCGCTGGCAAAGTTGAAGGAAGATCCACATTTTTATCGAAAAATTGTGTTCAGCGACGAAGCTCATTTCTGGTTGAATGGGTACGTTAACAAGCAAAATTGCCGCATCTGGAGTGAAGACCAGCTAGAAGCATTGCAAGAGCTACCAATGCATCCCGAAAAAATCACTGTTTGGTGTGGAGTATGGGCCGGTGGCATCATCGGGCCGTACTTCTTCAAAGACGAAAATGGCCGGAACGTAACTGTGAATGGCGAGCGCTACCGTGCGATGATAACAAACTTTTTTTTGCCCAAAATGGAAGAGCTGGACTTGGCTGATATGTGGTTTCAACAAGACGGTGCCACATGCCACACTGCACACGAAACAATGGCCCTATTGAGAGGCGAGTTCGGTGAGCGGTTTATCTCACGTTTGGGGCCCGTCAATTGGCCGCCTAGATCGTGTGATTTAACGCCGTAGGACTATTTCTTGTGGGGCCATGTTAAGGCTAATATCTACATGGATAAACCAGCAACGATTGACGCACTGGAAGCCAATATTGAAGCATTTATTCGTGAGATACCGGCCGATATGTTGGAGAGAGTGTGCCAAAATTGGACCTTGCGCATGGGCCATCTAAAGTGGAGCCGCGGCCAACATTTACATGAAATAATCTTTAAACATTAAATTATATCGACCGTTCTATCGACTCAAATAAAGATTTAATCGTTTTTCCAAATTTTTTGTGTTTTTTTCGAAAATCAAATCCTATACTTCTTAAAAAATCACCCGTTTAATGGTAGTATGATATCTATTCCACAAAAGTCAGCTTTGGAGACTAACGTAAGTTTCACACATAAAAAATGACTATTTTAATTGTTTCTATGGGCAAATTTTGCTAAATAAAGGACTCAAAAATAATAATCTTCCTCTCAAGAATTTATTTATAATTAAAAATTAAATAGAAATGCTTAAAAAAAGTAAGCCCATAGTAGTATTCCGGAGCTTGTAGAGGAGGTTTCGAACTTTGATTTAGATACCTGGCAACCTCATAACTACAGTATATTCAGATAAGAGATAGACCGGATGTAAACAAAAGGTTCGGGTGATTTTCACGCTAACGCCGCCCTCTCGACGTAAAACAGGAGCCCTCATTGGTCAATTCGCAATTAAATGCCTATGCCGAGCGGCAGAGCAGTCGTATCAAGGCAGAGTCACATTCAGGTTCAGACGTGTTACGTATGTCGTGTGCATCATTGCAATTTGATATTTCTTTGGACGTTTTCGTTGGTTATCTTATTAAGTTGTTGAGTTTGTCGTTGTTATTGTTATACCTTGTTATTGATTGTTATTGTTATCAACTGCTTGCGCAAAATGCCCAGTAGTACAGATACTGCCGATGAAGTTGTAAACTCCTGTAGTCCACGTAGGAAACGCTCTAAAAAAAGACACCTGAGTGCAGAAATGAAAGAGGTCATTTTGAATATATATAAGATCGAGCGCGAGGAGAACGAGGCATCAACCATCAAAGAAATTGTTGTGAAGGTTTCTCATAAAGTTGTGGTGTGTCGCGCATCAGTGTTTAATGTGTTAAGACAATACAAAAAAAATCACACCTTTTCTGAGCCAATGACCAGTAAACATCGCAAAAGTATTGTTAAATCATTGGATGAAGCTGATAAGCATGCGATTAGGAGGAAAGTGCATGAATTCTTCTTTAGGAATGAAATACCTACTATAGATAAAGTACTGCAGGAGGTAAATGGAGATACAACGTTGCCAAATTTCAAACGATCAACTTTCCATGCGTTACTGAAGCATTTAAAAAATGGAAAAAACGGGGTCGTAATAGTTTACTACTGGATAGAGAAGAAATTGTGCTATGGAGGAGGGATTATTTAACAAAAATTGGGAAATATAGAAATCAAAACAGGAAGATTTATTACCTTGATGAAACGTGGGTAAGCGCAGGACACACTACAAGTAAAGTATGGGTTGATGATTCTGTAACTTCATCCAGGAGGGCCTTTCTAGATGGACTGTCCACCGGATTAAAAAATCCAGCAGGTAAATACGAGTAATAGACAACAATCGGATGTTTTTCAAACCTTGGGAACAAGGTTCTAAACATTAATTCCAGGGGGCAGATAAAACATATTACAAGTAACAAAACTTTTATAACTTTCGATAAAATGCGTGGATGTTTTATTGTCATTTTCATTTGTTAGAACTTTTTTAAGACATGTTTTTATGTGTTTTCGATATTTCAATAATTTTTTAATATAATCTTAAAATATGTCGAATATTATAAACTTAAAAAAAGTTACTAAGTTTTATATTGTGTACCGTTCCTAATATTTCTAATCATTTTAATTCATACTTTAAGCTTTATAAAGTTATAATTTGTTAATATTAATATTTGCGCGTATTTCTGGTTCCTGATCATTCATTTTTTAAAGGTTTATAACTTCAAATTAAATTGTAAAGCGCTGAGTAATCATACGACGTTCAATATTCTTTCTTTCAATATGACTAAATAATCCCAATTATAGCAATCTGATACTCATGTCTCAATGTTTTTTCGCTGAATGTGATGAAAACATTTGAAAAAGGTTCGCTTATTGAAATAAATCTACACCAGTTAATACTTCGATTTCCAGGTAAAGGGAAAAGGCTCATTATCTGCCATATTGGCAGTGAGGATGGATTTGTTGTTGACGGTCTGTGGTGCTTTGAGTCTAAGAAA